TATATGTATATGTATATGTATATGTATATGTATATGTATATGTATATATATTTTCTGTCTGTACATATTTATATGACGTGGATTCTGGTTTATTATCGTGTTTGAGATGCAACTATCTCTGGTGCACACAACTAGGTCTATGTAATTAGAAAATATTGTGCATGTATTCAATTATTGAGATTTCATATTTTCAATGTTACTATTTGATGGTGACCTGTTAACCAGAAGCTATCTTTATAAGATACTTTTACTATAGTAAGGGATATGTCAGTTTGACAGGACACCTTTCCTGAGAAACCTTAACCAAATAAAATTTGTGAGGATTTGCCAATAGCACTTAGCATTATGGTACTAGACTTCCTTTTATGAGTATTTTGGTCATGATATGGGAGATATCACTTGGAATAAGATGTCGCATTTGAACTGTTTCCAAAATTACTAAGTATGTTGTTGCAGTGAGACTATGTTACCATAAGAGCCTAAATCCTGAATTTTACTGGATTTATAGGTTGGCCTATTGAGCACTCTGCATTTTATATATCCTTCCTAGGAATGAATGTATATTTTAAATCCATCTGGCAAATAAACGTATACACCCACACCACATAACCCTTGGGTCATTTAAAGATATACAAAAACTTTCTGCAACTAAAAGGAATAGCCAAATTTATCTTATTCCACTTTTGCATACCTCAATTTTCAGTTCTCTGAAAGGAATATTGACAGTGTTTTAAATGACAACATAATCTCATTGCTCTCAGTCAATTTGCAACATATGAGCAGCCAATGATCACACTTCTAAAATGGTTATTTGTGCATGTACTATACAATACTTTTAATATAAATGAATTGCTTAATTATACTTACCACAGACAGAAATAGACTGAAGATGTATTTACTTCTTGTTTTGGGATTTTAATGAGAACACAAATATATAAAATAAATATAATGCTTTTGATTAACAGATCATTGTGACTAAGTTATATGTACAAGTGGTCATGAAAATATCATTCAGGTCTTTCATTCATCTAAGTGCAGTTGATGATTCTACAATTGTCTTTTTTTAATGTCTTCCTGGTAGGCCCTTGACCCACAAATAATGTTTTTCATAGTCATCCCTTCATAGGGAAGGGAGAATTATGGTAATTAAAAGTGGGGTCTAAGTTGTAGTTACTCCCTCTCTCCATACTGATGCCATTTCGTATCATATTTCTTCTCTTACTAAATAATCATTATGTTGTTACTAGATAAATAAAAGTCCCATTAACTTTTCTATGGATGTGGAGCAGGAATTGTTTTATTAATATCAATTAATTGAAGGTTTCCAATTTACCCAATTATAAAAGAAGGAAAAAGAAATGCCCAGCGTTAGAATCTGAATGATTCCAACATCATATAGTTACCATATGACAACAAGACAGCAACAAACCTATTTGTTGCTTGTAGAACAGTTAAAAAGTATAGATGCTAATCCTTTCATGAATTCATGCTTTCAGGAAAGTTTTCAGTTTAGGGGAAAAATATGAATCTTTGCAAGAATTAAAAGGGGACACAGTTTAATAGGAACTAGAATGGTGTGTGACGGAGTGATGGTTAAACATAGGTTCTATATTGTTGTTGGACAACATAGCCTGGACGCTATGGGTCAAATTTCACAACTAACAACATTATTGTTGTCATGAGAAGCCCATGGATATGTCTATGAAGTTACCAGGAATCGTATTCTATTTGGGTTTTGAAAATGAATGAAATCCTTTTATAATGCATTCTTTCTTTGCACTACAATATCTACAGCAGCAATGAGGTTTTGCAAAATAAGAGGCTACACTGTTTCTGGAATATTTTCTGGAGAGTAGTGGGTGGGTGACTTTTTCTTTTTTAGTTTTGTGTGTCATCTGCACTTTCGTAGAAGAGCTGCCATTGGGGAGTGCTGCCCAATCACAAGGCCAGTCATAAAAGCCTTTAAAACAGGGGTGTCTCCACCCTTGGGAACGTTTAAGAGCTGTGGACTTCAACTCCTACTTCATGATGATTAGGGAGTTCTGGAAATTGAAGTCCACAGGTCTTAAAGTTGCCACGGGTAGATACCCCTGCTTTAGAAAGGAAACTAATGAAGCTGTTCTCTGCCACTTCTTCATGTATAGCTTTACTTTTTTTTTCCTCGACAAACATATACTTTCAAAGAATGCACTGGGCTATAGTCACCCAACATTTTATCTTTTTTTTTTTAATAAAGTTTTATTTGGGTTTTCACACATACAAAATACAAGTAAAACATCTTTTTTGAAAATAGCATGGTCCCGGGTTGAACTCCTTTATACAGACACAAAACTCAATTTCATGCTCCTTTTTGTGTTCTATTCCATATCTTATACTATTCTACATTTTCTATTTAGTTTTTCCCCTTTTTTAATTTTCTCAATTTTATTTTGATTATCTCATCTCAATTCAAATCATTATATTTATACTTTTGTCTGTTCTGTTTCAATTTCATATTACCTTTTCTCATTAAACAAATTTGCTCCTGTAGTTACTAATTGGAGTATGACACCTTTATATCTTTTAATTACATCCATTCAACTCTTATTTAAACTTCAATATATACCTTAAGGTTATGACCTTCAATATAATACATAATACATAACTTTCAATCGAATTTTGCTTGGTACATTCTTATAATACACACTATATTCTTAAAAAAAAAAGATTATAAATATATGTAATTATAAATCCTCATTCCATTCCAATTCAGTTCTATCATTAATAATCATTAAAATCTTAACATCTTTAACACTTCTTTTCAATTAAATATAATACTTCCTTAAAAAACATATAATCTCCATAATTAATTTTCCCCTTATTTCTCTTCACATATGTTTTATAAATCACTAAATATACCTTTTGTTACATTTATTTATTGACAAGCATTCCACTGAATTACGATAGCTATTTTATCAGACATTTTAATCATACATTGTTTCATATTTTCTAAAATTATTTCTGCTTCTAATATAACCATACTATTTTATGTACCTTTGCAGAATCCCTTTTTCCATTAAATTTTCACCCATTATTT